CAGAGTAAGAAGAAGTGGGTTGGCACAACACGACATCATCTGCATATTTCAGAATTCGTGCGGGAGAAACACAGGGAATATCACAAATGTAAGTGGCAAATAAGTATGGGGATAGCACAGCTCCTTGAAGGACCCCGGAGTTGCTGACTAAGGGTTTCGATGTGGTCTTCCCCAATCTAGTGGTTTAAACCTAAAAGGCAATAGATAGTATCCTCTGTTTCCGGTGTGGTGTGGAGTTGCCGAAAACTGGGAGGGGTGGGTGAAATGGAAAGGATGGAGAGTATGGGCGAAACAATGACCTGACAAATTGTTTTTGTGCACACAAAGGTGGCTTGTGAATGCGAATTCCCACTATTTCCGCGGTGGCCAGAATGGNCTGTTCACATACATGCTAGAGGGGGTGAAGCGCTCCAGTCAAGTCAACTAATGGAGCCCAATGGACATGGTGTGAACAGATTGCACTCGTAATTGACTGTGTCACCCCAGTGTGCTACCAGGCCGGAAGATGCACACGAACTCTCTGATTTAATAGTCTGCTTGTATGACCGATATGCTTTGTTCCACAGCAGCAAGGGAAGGAGTAAACAATGAATGAGATCGCAGAAACGGGAACATTAGCTTTGAGCTGCCGCGTGAGGGCCGGTTCGGATGTGAATGTGACACACAATTTCGCTGCATGGAAAGTTTGACTGTTGTCAACTTTCGAGTAACCATTTACGTCATATTGTCACCTGCCCACTAATTAATATATCTTTTCTTTGATACGAACATTAGTGAACAGCGAAGTTACAAAGAGGGAAAATATTCGCAATCCGGTTACATTCGTGGTCTGAATGGAATCCACCAGATCAAACTAGTCTCGTTGCATATGCTTCGCAAGTCCAGTCTTTATAAGTTCCAATTTGCTGACGAGATACGTGTGAAAAGTTTGTTGGGACTAAAAGCGGGGCTTGGGATAAAAAGAATTTGCCAAATTATATGGCAGCTTCTAATTTATGACATACTGAATGAAATCGTTTGAAAACATTCGCTGGAACCTATGTTCACAAAGTGAGAATAGCATAAAATCTGACAATGATTTTGGCTTGTATGTTGGCTTCATTCCCCGCCTGATCGCAGGACCGAAGAATCATTTTTAGTCACTGGATTAGGGTACTTACTTAAATGCAGTGCACCGAAGGAAAAGAGCGTCATTAATAATCAAACACGTTTGTCATTTACAGAACTGAAAGAGTTCGAACGAAATGTTAGGCATGAACTATGCGGCTTTGTGGTTTCGGTCACTTGTCGAAATCAACTCAAAATAAGACCGCACACAAGTCATAGGTATTGTGCAGGCTTCTGCATATACTAAAGATCCGGTTGATTGTAAAATAATAGTTTGTGAAAACATGGGCAACAACCAACCCCACTAGTCGTTGGTCTTCTCCAAAGTACATTTAAAGTCAATATGATATATGTAATCTCTATCTTAATAAACACTAAATTACACACTGTTGTGACTCTGACATTTACGAATACTGGACGTTCTCTGTGATTATTACGAAAGATAATTCTAGTAAATATGTCAATCTAAAAAACGTCACGTAATATTCCTAGCCTGTCCAATGATAGGCATCTCGATGCAGTATTCACATAAATCAGCCGGATAAAGAGATGCGCCTTTGTTGAAGGCTCAAAATATTGTCAATCGCAAGCTGACAGGATTGGCTACAATAATGCCACAAAACACTGGCGTAACAGATGCACTGTAGCGGGGAATGCGTAGAATACCACAACATCGGTAACACTGGTTGATTAGTTTGGACAAAAGTACAAGCAAACGCAAGATAAAAGGCGAAATCGGCCGTACACCTACCTCCAGAGAAAATATTTTCTAGTTCTTCACATGCTGCACATTTTAAAGTACTAAATGCTAACTCGTAGGTTGAAATTGCGATAGTTCAACCTTATTTGTATCGCTTTTTCATGCGAATTTTTCCAAAATATATTGCGGTTCCGAATATGATGCAAAACAGAACACAAACTTTCGCAGATTAGCGCAAATCATTGAATGGAAAATCAACTGCAATTGATTCTATTAAATGACCAAGTTTGATCTGTACAACTGACAGAGAACGGGAGCATATAACTCTATAATGAGCTTACTCTAATATTTTATTGAACCAAAGCTATAACTGAATGCTGGATACAACATAAGCTGACGGAGTGACAAACAGTCTTTTCCTTCGAAATGAGAAACTTTTCGTTTCGGAATTTAAGAAACGATACATAGTTGGTTACTCAGCCTAAGATAATGGAGCCAATGTCCTTCAATCGTGTAAACCGCACACTTCCCGGTATCATGTTCATGTGGTGTTCCGCGGTCGTAGTCTCATTCACATTGTTGTTAACCACACTTCATTGCTTTGAATATTACGCTGACGGAAGAGAACGTTGTGACCGAACCGCATATTACTCAGAAGCTAGTCTCGCATTGCGGAACAAGTTGATCAACACAAAGGTTTTCGCCACAGTTAGCTATATGCAGAACAGTATTCCGTCAGTGAGCTGACAAAAAATCGTCCCCTTTCATAAGAATACTGGATTAAACTCGAATACACACTTGATAGCAGTGTAAACCTTTCGTTGGAACAACTGCGATGTTGTTTCGAGACTAAGTAAATTGTCCACCGATCTCAAGAATCGGACCGTGTGAAATGGAATTTTTTACGCGAATCCCATACATGGTAGCATGTGTGTTTACACAAGGTGACGACATGTGGAACTTCAGCTAAATTCCTATTCGATAATGAATTGATTGAAAATGACGATGACAGACATGAATATAAATAGAATCATTCAAATTCGCTAGAGGCAACTCCAATTATCGCTACTTGCAATAAACATCTGGGAGTAACTTTTGTCTTCCTTTACTATTTGTGCGATTTACTGTGTACAACAAACGGATGAGCTACTATTTTAAAAAACACAGAGGCAAACAGAAGTTTTGTGTGAAAGCCAGTGCGAAAATTTGGTTTATTTAATAAAGATCATTCGTCATACAGAGTCAATATATCACACACCACTGAAAAACCTGGAAATCTTTACACATATATTTCGTCCTGCTTAGGAATCACATACGCACCAAATACAGTAGGATTCGAGCCCGGTCAATACAAGTTAGTATCGAGTTGCAATAACCACTTAAGCTATCCGGGCTGGCTGATAACAGTTCGCTACATGTCAACACTAAGTGATATTGGGCGCACCCGTAGGCCATGTCAGCAGGACCAATGAAGTGTATCCCGGCACTGCAGAAGTACCACCTTTGTAAACCGAGTCCCATTTCGATGAATTTAATCGACATCAGAGCTTATACAGCACAATGTCAGTGAATTTCCACAAGCTAGACCACTGCACGTGAACTCGGCCTGTGTGGGCCAGCCCCAAAATGGCGCAACAGTTTGGTAAACCAGAGCTAGTGTCGTTTCTAACAGCGATGAAACCTGATATGTGTACGTGATCGGTAGAAGGTGAAGACGGTAATTGAAAATAAACGGAACGGAGTTATCAAAGAATGTATTCCATCATGCGTCCTATTCCCATGTTTATAAAGGTCATTCTGAGCTCATGAACTCCACTCAAGTGGACTGAAAGTAAAGTGTTCAAGTTGAATCAGGTTCGAAACGCGGAAACATTCGTCAAAAATGTTGAAAGCAAGTAGCAGCATAATAATGGTTCAAACCCGCTATTCGAGAGGTTCCAGCCTCGAAAGCGTAAATACCATCAAGCAAGCAAACCAGATAGTACATCATGTTATTCGGTCCTATGACAGCCAGTTACATTTAGCCTGATATTCACACCGCATTTTAACCAAAACATACGTGAATAAGGAGTGTGAGTTTAAAAAAAAATATTTTCACTCTGTATTGTTTATTGTGTCAATGAGTGTTGAATATTTCTCAACACAAGCATCATTCAGTTGATATACCTGTTTCGTATTTGTCTACGAAACGAGGTTTTTCAGCTTTGGACGAACCACTGCTGCCGTGTATTCCCATGGTGAGGGTTCAAAATGTGAAACCATTGCCATCGACATTTTGATGAGCTGCGTCACTTGAGATGAGGACACTTCACTCTAATTAACTACTCCTCCCCCACCCTTTGGAGATATTTAATAAATAGCTCTCTGCTTCTGTTTCTATCTGTTGATGTTGGGAGAAGGCAATTAAACCTTTGGTATGAAAGTCACAATCGAGAAAGATGGTCTGAGAGAGAGTGAGAGAAAAAGAGAAGAAAAACAACGAAACGTGAGGTGAATCCGTGCAATCTTACTGCGATTTCGATGGGATTAAACCTATCAGAACTCACACCAGATAGCGATTAACTGCAACCCAAGCCGACAAAAGTGCTACTTTAACAGATGAAAATCAGCTGTTTGTGAGTATCAAAATGGTTGAAGCTGCCTAAATGAACTTTTCGTATGGACGTTTGTGTCTTTTAACATGTAACAGAACACGAGCATGAGGCTGTATGTCAAATTTATGTTAATTGAAAGTAAAGTGAATACACAGTATAGGTGTGTTCAGCATGTTGAACTTACAGAATGCTTCCTTGTCCATTGATTAACATCTGCAAATGACTGGTCGCTGAGGTGAAACTATTAGATGGATGAAGACCTGAAAGTGTGCAAGCAACAACAATAACAATAAGCAACGATAAATGAGCCATGCACAAAATAATGGGAGCTCATCCTCCCCTACAATTTACATTGCTTGTAAGGAACCACTTGATTTATTGCACCCAGAGATTAGGTGGAAGGGACAGAGTCCGCTTTCTGTGGTCAGCATTGAAATGAGTCAAAAGATTCAATGAGCCGTGTCGTTGACAGAAAGGATGGAGTGAATGGATCTAATGTGTATCGTATGTGAAAATTAGTCATCTTTTGTATGTGACATCGTAGCGAATTTTTTCCAGTTTCGTTCGGTGCTCTTCAGACATTCAACAATATTAATCAAACCATGTGGTCTGGGAGCAAGGTATACGTTCACTGAAAATAGTGACGGTTTCAAACAAGCATGAATGTTGGGTGAAAACAAGTCATTGTTTTTCCGCTCGTGGTGAATGCCTACCCACTCAACAACGCGTCCATCCTCCGTCAAGCAAAGTGCCGCTTCCAAGAAGAGACTGTTATATTGAGATTATAAGCTGCTGTTCGAAAACCTATGGCGTTGTAGGAAGAGCACCGTATATATATACATATATATAGTTAAGCTTTTACCTACTAACATCTAGCTAAAATGAGTCTAACCGTTCCATTTTGGAATCCAGGTCCGTATTAGAGTTTGGAAAATCAAGGACATCAAGACAAAGGTTATAAGGACACTTTCTAAGTGAAACCCCCTTTGTGCCAATACTACGCAGTTGAGTGTTTATAAGAATGAAAAACTTTAAAGAAGTGTGTCGAGTGACTACTATAACAGCTGGATCTCTTTAACTGTCATTGGTAAAAAGAACAGTCTAACCAGTTATTAGGCCGATGATATGCTTGCATATTCTCTTTAACGTTTTGAGATGTAAACCATAATAATAAGCTCAATGGTAAACGGAAACAGTGGATTCTCTACACGGTAATCTTGCCACAAAAGAGTACTGGGACATGCCCATTGTAGACTACAGTGTCTCAATGCATGTTTTATGCCGTTCCGCGGGTTATAATTCCCTGGCTTAAAATACTTACCCAGAGAAGTTGTAATTGGAGGAATGCCAAGGGGGATCAGAATATGAGCTGAATTCAAGGTATCAAAATCAGGTAAACCTGAGCTTCCAGTTTGAAAACCTCATGACATGCCTGTTTTTCTGAGCCCCAGACGGTGACACTCGTATATTTGCTCGACATTGACGCACATCTATTTCACCTGGCACTGGGACCATACCACTTTGTCCTTTTTATAATACATATAAAAGCATGTGCCCGAAAACCGGTAACTTCAACCAACACAGTCTGACAAGATTATTCCCTGATGGAAACTGGAAGGAGCTGTTTTTTGACTACCTGATGACTTTCAGTTCAACTTTTCAGTGATCTCCTTTTGAAGGATTCTTTCAAATCAAAAAATGCTTTGAAATGAATGTAAATGATATTGAATGGATAGGTTCAAATAATTTCAGATAAGTCTTTCACTTTATCCGTGAGTAATCCCATAGAAGGATTTGTTCGTGTATAGCGTAGATGAAGTGTGAACTGAAAAGCTAGGGACTACTGTATAGCTATTTCGACCTGGTTTGATCTCATCAGCAGTGCCAATCTATCAACCCAACTGGAGATTGAACCTGGGACCTCAAAAACAGAACGCAAGCATGCTACCCACGCGGCCGTCTGACAGCTGACCAGAGCGTTTTCATTTTCCATTTACACCATGTAGCGCAACCCATTTTTGCGAGCTAATTGCGGGAATCGAACCTTGCTCATCTCAGCAATGGCCTCCGGGGTTTTGACTCAATTGGAAACTTTTACAACCTAACTGCTTAATGTATGTGAGTAATAGAGGGTTTTCTGTTTCATATCAGTTTGCATTGAGCCTAAGTGAGGTGTATAAGCTTTGTTAGAGCACAATCGGATTCCGAGTGCCTTAATCGCGTTATGAAATGCTTCTGCGAAGAAAACGATGTTCGAGCACTGGCACAGGAAAAACATCATTCATTTGCATGGTCTTAGCATGGACAAAGAGATCTTCGTGTTTTATTGGAATACACTGGGTTTCAGCGAAGTATTGTACCTGATGGGCACGTGACCAACGTCAAAGATTATCGAGTATTTGTGAGGGAAAATCTAACAACATAAATCACTATATCTCATGAACTGGAATGAGAAGCAGTCATTGTAAATTTTTTTCAATAATTTGCACTGTAAACATTAAACACTGTGTTAACCAAGGCCAGAACATGCCGAGGTGCTGTTCATTGATTGGTTCAAATGCAAACTTTATAAACGAAATAACTGCACTGTAACCACGATTCAAATTCTCGAAAATAATTGGCCTAGTAAAAATATTCAATAGAATATCCAAAAAATCATTCCCAAATATTCGGCATGCAATCCAGAGCGAACTTTCGCCAATAAGTAAATTTTGAAATAGATTAGAACTTTTGACAAAAACCGAGTTCATTTCCCCCGCCCAGGACTTAACTGAACAGAGATTGCGTGGTAAGACAGCGAAGATCATCACTGTTGCTCTGAACGCATTTGTGACAAATATTGACAACCACAGTTCCGTTGCTAACCGGAGTTATCCTTATTAGTGGTTAAAATTCTGAAAAAGTGTACAAATGTGCACGTTCCGTTGACAAGCTTAGTCAGAATTCACTAATTCGTTCGATTCGAAATGAAGCCAATCGATGGAGAACATTTATCCACAATTAGGGATTGTCACGACAGTAAGGCAGTCTGCACAGATATCTTCCCAATGAAAATTTTCAGTGTGTGATCAGGATTTTTGAACACGGAAAAGGGACATAATGAGCTGAAAAGATTTTCAGTGCATTATTTTTCAGCACGTCTCCACAATCCGTCGTCAAGATGCGTGCAAACATTTAGGTGTCGTTCACCTCTGAAGTCAAGGCACTGAATGTAAGAGCAAACACTTTCCTCTGCAATTAGGTTTAAAATTCGCTTAGTTCAATTAAAAATACCCTTGGGTATACTATGGGTTGATAATCTACCATATCTGACCTCAGTATGTCACACCAGTCAACAGTTTCTCTTTCACGTTCAAAAGGATCGAACTTAACTGAGAACCACCGGCTTACTGTAGGCAAACTTCGCGTATCATACCTACCTATTTATGTTTTGTACGCTTCAATTTACTGCACTCAAAATTACTATTCTTCTCGTGAAGTTGCCATCATTTTCGATGCACCTAACTATAATATCTGCAGGAAACAGTGAAGTAGCATCGATCAATCAAAGCATGTCAAACGACCGAACAGTATTCAAAACATTAATTCGTTCTAAGCGACAATAAAGTGTGCAGTGAGAGAAAATCCATAACGAATCGACCACCAACTCGGCGTCGTATGACCTATCGTCCATTTTCTCTCCTGAGTGACGAATAAATACATACCCACATTCGTGCATTGATTTCACCTCTCACCATTCTAAATGTCCCGTCTTTCACTTTTACCCTACTGAAGTATTTTAACAACGATTCACTTTTCGTATCAATTCAACATAAAACGCTATAGAACGCTCCATCCCTATTGAGTATTTATCTTCGTTGACGCTCATAAGTGAGTTAAACATGACAAAAAACCTCACTCGCACAACCGATGAAATAGATTCTCCAAAGGACAAAATAGATCGGAATTTTTTTCATCTATGTGTTGAATTCCTATTCACACCGGTCGTTGTTTCTCCCATGAAACCGCTCTTCGGTACTCAAGACCGTTCTCACCAAACTGACATTCAGCTGCAAAACATTGGTAATCTCTTCTGCAAAAGTGACATTTCTACGTTGAAAAAAGTGGGAAAAGCGGTTTTATTCTACGCACAGTTAACCATTTGCACAGACAACATCCACAGTTGCAGAGTATTTTATGGAGTTCACGTTCTACCTGAGTTCATACGTTTTACGTCGATTGTAAAGACGTTTTTATCTTTTAAAGTAAATGCATGTTATCCGCGAATTGTCAGATGTCTTAATGATAGCGGAAAACCTGTCAAGGGAGATCCATCTTACAACCTGGCTATATATATTTTACATATAGTATAAATAGTAATATTCAGTACGCTGATCCCTCGGTACGAGGTTATTTTGACTAAAGAATGAATGAATACACTATGGTCGCGAAACAAACAAAACATAAACGAGGGACATTTCTGCCGAAAATGATTTCACATTCCCCTGTTTCATCATCTTCTACTTTGATTAAATCTATTGTCCATAGAAACTGCTCACTCCTATTCGGTTGCACTACTGGTCCAATAAAATACCCTCTGTCTTTTTCCTTTGCGAGGTTCGAGCAGTGCCAGTGAGCCACAAACTGACTGATCGGTCTTGTGATGAAACCCTACACGTACTATCCAAGATCTCGCTACCTCGGGGGATAGTGTGTTAATCTGTAACTGAACATAACCCTAACATTCTGAAATCGTATGGGGCAGCTGAGTGAAAAGAAGTCTCAGTTATCATTTTGTGTATCAATAATAGTAGCACTGTTATTGGGAGGATCTTTAAGCACACTGGATAAGTTGAGCCAGAGGCTGATTGATTTTAAAAAAATTTTAATATCATACGTTTAGAAAAATTAGTCTTTCTTAAATGCTCCCCTCATTCCGAAAATAAGGTTTTTCACTTTGTTAAAGTACCTCTAATGAATTCTTAAAACAAAACATCGAAGTGGATGACGATCTGTATGTAGGACGAATGTTCAGTTGAAGAGTCTTTATCAGACAAAATGGGTTTATGATTGAACAGTCCAGTGAATCAAGATTAATCACACCGCCTTGGATGCATGCACTGTCCACATTGCTCATTTTGATCAATATCACGTTGCTAAATAAATGTGATTAATAGATATTTGGGTCATTGATAATAATCTATTTAATATGTTTAAAATAACGACAATTGATAAACAGGACTCTTTCGTGGTAGAATATTTTTATTCAAATTTAGATAAACAAAAGTCATTTCAAATCAATCTATGTTAATATACAGGTCATTTGAACTATTTCCGCGCTTGTGCCGCGGTTTACAATACAAATGCAAAAGCAAAATCGAACGAATGAGCATCACTTCTCTCCCAAGTTCACAACGGCGTTATTCTCGAGGTTTGGAAAGAACACGTCGGGAAGACCTATAGATTATTCAACAACACCACTTTCTCATGCGGTTAGTATATTCTCATTGACCTCAAACGGGTCAGTTTTTGCTTTGATGACGTTGAAAGGGTGTGTCCAATGAATCGGGGGCAATGATTGTATTGAACAAAGGATAACCGAAATTTCTTGTCTGTCGGCATCTGAACACTTCCGATGTCCTGAAGTGTTTCACTTTCCCTGGTCATTGTTGCCTTACATTAATAGTTTCAAGTCAGTAGCTTGGAGGTTCGAGAGGTTCTATATTTTGACGCGCCAATATTCGTTAAAAGCAGTTTTAATTGTATGCGTTAACATGAAAGGGGTAAAGCATATGTGCAATCGTGATCTCTGTGTCATCTGCAGTGACAGTTTACCGAAAAAGACTAGCTTCGAGTCTCAATGATCGGAATGAGAGAATGCTGAAAGTTTTGCTCACGACTAGTTCGTCCCAATCGGGCAATACCAGCAACAGACGCCTGTTAAACAAAAATCCGTTAGAGCCGAAAGGCATATTTTCATTAAAAAAGCTTTATTCAGATGTACATTGAAGGTTAAACAAGGAATTTGGTTTCAAACGGATTATCCAGTGCCGGGGATTATTACATACTAACTCAGTCTGATCCGCTAGTAACACTGCCTAAAGGACAGATCGCTACAGGAGTTTGAGTCGACCACTCATATTTGAACGTCTATATGACATTTAAGAAGTAATATTATCCATGCTAGTTTTTTTAACTTACAGTATCACATAAAATTGGACTACATGCTGTTTCTCTCGTTGGTGAGAACGACCTCCAATTTCATATTAATGAACGTTTATAGATCTCAGAGATACTGTGTTAGTTAGAGCTGTTTGTGTGTTTTATTGATTAATAATTCATCCCATTTCTAGCGTTCATGGCGATAAATGAACACGCAAAATCTTAGATGCAACATCACTCATCTGTGCTTAGACGGAAAGAATAGTGAGCAAAAAGATATCACCAATGCAGTCTCATTCTCCCTTTAGACAGGGATTTTCTCCCAGCCGTTCATCAGTAACAGGTTTCATGCATAATACACAACTTTAAAACAGAGCTGCGTCAAATATGTGATGTAGAAAACACTGCATTAAGGTTGACTTGGCGGAAACAAATACAGCCAAGTAACTCATTCCGTAAAGAGACAATTGAGCACTTGAAGTTGACATCAGCAAGAAATTGTGGGTCAGTTCTGCGTTGGTGAGAATTATATTCAGCATTTTGTCCCCCTTACTTAAATAATAGCCAAAAGAAATTCCGTGCATTATTTAAGAAAGATTTTATTTTTTTAATTTTAATTTTTAATTTGATTTTTAATTTTGGTATATAAAATCATTTTATTTGATACTGTTGTTTGAACTGAAAAGTAAGCCTCTGAAAAGGAGCATTAAGGAAAGTGTTTGTCGCAAGATTACTTCATTCAGACCGTTGTAGAATCTCACGGTGATCAAAGGAATTCCGACCTGATCAACGACCAAATAAAAAACCCATCGGGCTCCGCACAAGGCGCAATGGCCGGACACTTGTTTGGTGTAACAGATTTGAATACGGATGTGGTTTGTAGCTCAGGTTGATGGTTTGCGGGGTCTTGTGTTCGCTGAGCTTGGCGTTTAGATCGCAAACGTTTCATCACCATCGTCAGTGCACTGACAATGTCACCTCGGCTGGTGATGAAACGCTTGCGATCTAAACGCCAAGTTCAGCGAACACAAGACCCCACAAACATGTTGGGTTTAATTCTCCACAGTTTTTTCAGTTAGTTCATCTGCCGGATGTGAAATTGATAGCATAATCAAAGTGGATTTGCAGCTATTCGCATAAGTCACATTATGCATAGTTCGAACCGCATTTGTTTGAATCCTGCCATCAGAATTAAATAGCTATGCGAAGCGGACAGGGTGTTGCTTTCTGCCACAGTTGGCTCGTCTAGCATTTCAGGTCGATTAAAATATTTCAAGAAAAATTGCTATCTTCTTAGGAAAACGGAATAAATTTAAATCACTTGTTATCAGTTGTATCTGTTTCTCTCGCGTCTCTGCATTCCAGTTTTACGGAAGATGTGGTTATCTGTAGATCGCATTGTTTACCGCACTAGACGGTTAGATGTATGTACTGTAGGCGCTACTGAGAAAGTGATCACCGTAGAGCTTTTGGTTTTGTGTCCTATCGAGTCAGCCGCAATGTTAATGCCAATAATTTATGAGTGTTCAGAGGGGCGCCTATAAATTGACAAACGTTTTCATATTTTATTCCAAATACTTTTGTTTTATCGCCTATTTCTTAGTATTCTGTTCAGATACTTTAAGTTGTGGCATTGGTACTGATAGCAGTTCCATCAGTGTTGTGCATTTTCATCTAATTTAAAGAGCAGAAATTTCTTTTTCAGAATGTACGCTTACACGTTAGTCTAATAAAGATGTATGGTTAATATTGTTCGGTATGCAAACGTTTTCACTAATCATCTAGAAGTATTTACTTGATAAAAATAACTCATCAACTCCTTTGGAGAGTGGTGTTGGTCTGACAGAGGTTGTGAGACAGATGTTCAACAGAAAGTTCGACTTATCAAAACAAACTAGAGGTTGTGCGCTCCTATACCAATGCAAGCATAAGAATGACTCAGTATGGTCGGGGGTGGGTGGCTAGGGTTGCGGCTGGTCAACTTTCCCTTGCATCTCGCGAAATGCTACCATTCGACCAAGCGTCTCGAACAGCCTCTGCTGAGGAACCTTACTCACTGCCTTCACGTGGCGGAGGTAATTTCTCATCAAATTGAGAGGACTTAAAGCAGATATCCAGAGCTAAAGCCAAGTCGGTGACCCACCAGCAGTTCACCAAGAAGAGGTACATGAACCATGCACACACCCTCGCGGTCGTGATAGTGGTCAACGGCTCGCTTTGGTATCGAGGTATTTTGAGCACCCTGGACGTTTGACCCAATCCAATCAGCGTATGATACGATGAACTGGACACCGGTCCCTAATCGATTACGATTTTCACACACCGCCCAGCTCTCTTGCAGGTTAGGCTTTGGCTAGCCGAAAGCTCTGGTTGTGAATTCTCCAAGAAAATTCACAAGCCTTGACCTGGGCAACCTAGCAGTATCGTGCCCTCATGCAAATCCTGAACCCTTTCACTTTTTATAAAAATTATTATATATATATATATCCCAATAAAACTCAGTTATTTCCCCAGCTGTTTGGCTTCTTAAAGAATTTTTAAATTTGCCTCAGTACCTGTCCTGAAAATTATTGCTGCATCACTTAATGAATAGATTTTAGTAAAATACTGTTGTTCACGGCAATAATGACATCATCCTTATTGGCTTGACGAGCAAAGCCTGACCGTTTGATCTCATTTTTTGCTTTAAAATCTGACAGACCAGGTTAACCGAATGACTATAGTAAATGCATTTGAGATCCGCAAGGTAGGTTTCATCCAAACAAAAGGTCAAGGATCTTGAATTGAAACGAAAACCAATCTAAGCATTGATTTACAACACACACATAATGACCCTTACTCTTGCTATTACTATTAAAGATGCCGTGGTCAATTCCAATTCTTTGGGCATCAAAGATCTTGCGCTAGACCTATCCAAAGTATCAGCAATGTTTGGATTTCGATCAGAATTGTCGATTTCATTCGATAGATGAAGAAGCTCAGAAAACATATTTATTTATTTGTTAAGCGAGCTTCTAAATACCATGAAGCACTTTTTATGACAATTTATGTAACAAGGAATTACATTCCATGATTCCAAAAGTGATAGAGAATATGTTTCGAGTACCTGAAACAACTGACTGTTTTTTTTCACTATTAAATGCATAAACGAACAAAAATAAAACGAATAAGTATAAGCTATAAATGACTACGTTAATTGCTACAAGTCACACACGGAACTAAATAAACAAAGGTTTGTGCATTTGCTCTTGTCCAACTTACCGCGAATGGAAGAATTCGTACTGAATATTGATGCAGTATCTGATCCGTTTTCCGGCTGATGTGAATGCGACGAGAGCCAACTGTGGTCCAGCGGGGCACGAGACATATGACCACCATTCAACCGACCGGTGCCACCTCGATTGTTTTCGGATGTATGGATTTTGAAACTATTGGTTTTCGACACCCGCATTGTGGCCGCATAGTCACCATCAAAGGCACTGGTGGGATTTGAACTGGGCACTGTTCGCAGATTGCAAGTAGATCGACTGAGCGGAGCGCCGTTGCGTTTTGCTTGTTGTTGCTGTTGTTGCTTTTGTGGTTGGTGTGGTTCGCGTTGCTCTCGTTGTTCACCATTAGGCATCGGTTCTACATCGATCAGGGAGATATACCGAGCGACAAATGTTGATTTGTCCGGTAGGGTGTCACGAATGTTTACACACGAACGAAATCGACGAAGGCGCATGTTGAATTTGAGCACAGTGCACGAACGGATAAATACAGATTAGAAAGACTGGATGTTGAGAGTTTGACGCTAAGTTTATATAGTGAGTTTATTGGCACCCATTACCGATCCATTCTTTGAATAATTGCGCTCATCAGAACTACCATAAATGGCGAGTTCAAAGTCAACTTCAGTGTATTCTACCAGTAAGTGGTGATGGGAGGACACAAACTCATGCACACACACACACACGATCTGTCCTGATTCACAGGCCCATGACATCTGATTACGGATAGTCAATGCTGCCTCAGACGAACCTTGGAACAAGCGGTTAGACCAGACCAAATATCCCAGACGAAACTATTGAAGATAGAGAGAGAGACCGAAAGCATTGTGTAACGTGCCGCGTGTAGCGGCTAATCTCGATAAATATAATGAAAATAGAGCTTTCGATTGCTCTAGAGGACTTATCGGTGAATGCAATAAAAACAAATCAGGGAGTATTCGACTATCTCTTGCAGGTGTTCTCTGCAGGCAGAATCAAAAAGACAAACTAACCGGTGCACAAATATCATTTCAACAAAATCTTCATTGCTGAAATGCAACGCAAATTTAGAGTAAGTCTTAATTCTGAACGGTTTAAATTGCATCCCGTTTGATATTCAGTAAGCAATCTCTTCGATCAAAGTGACCATTCAAAATTAGTTATCCAAAACCATCAACTTCACAAGTAGCCCATAATTCCGACGGACTCATGTGATTCGTGATGTTTTCGTCATATTCACATTTGAAATATTCTAAACTATGAACAATTCGAACAAGGAATGAATATATTCTTCATTAGTGTCATTTGAAACACATTTTGCTTCTCGCTGTTCTAAGCACTCGTGCCCATGTCTTGATTTTTTTCCTCATAGAGATCTCATCCCACCAAGTAAAAAAAAATTTGTCTGCGTGTGAAAAACACGTGATAGGTCCAATAGTAAATGTTAATCTAGTTCAATATACAAATTGTATGAATTCATCTAAACGATGTGGTCGCTGTTGTGGGACCGAGATTGCGGGCTAAGATAGTGGTCATGTTGGACGGGAAAACCTGTTAAGGTCATCTTTTTATGATGTGGATTAGTGCACATATGACATATGTCAGTGGAGGCATATTCACCTGTATATATTTACATGAATGAACTGGGGATAAACAGTATCCATCCGGCAAGTTTTTCTCATAGGACAGGAGTGTTCCCCCACCCCNCTCTCCATTTCCGTGTAGAATGATAAACACCATAAATCTGGATTTATGCTAGTCCGATCTTTCTAGAAAGATTAAAATGTGGAATTCAATTGATCTAACGTTCAAAAATAAACTCTGTGTTATTTTGAAAATGTGAGCTCCCCTTGAAAAAAAATTTGAAAACCGAAGGAAAACTTTTGCTGTGGGAATAATTTTGTTATCCGACACGAAGTTTGGCAAAACGGGATTGAAATTAGCTTCTGAGAACAGTAAATTGAGCTTGTTTTGTAAACGGAGTGATAATAAGAAATTTAGTTGATATCAACGTTTGTAACAGAAAGAAATTCGAATCACGTGACTGTGATTCAGTCTTCCACGTCTGTTTTCTATTGGAATGGTGAGTGCTTGTAACTCTTTCCTTCAGTAGCATTCTTTTTATGTACTCCATAATGATGATCCAACTTACTGCCAACGTATTTACGTTGCGTAAAGCAAACTGACCAAGGAGAACTTCTAAACAACATTGGAAAAAGTGATTGATACCATGTTCTCAGAAGCAGATAGTGGTCACACCGTCCAGTATTGTGCAGTTTACTTATGTACACCTCACTCTTTCTTCGCACTCAGTTCACAGAAGAACCCCCTTTCTAGAGTGAACTTGCATTAACAATACCTGATTCTTCAGAACAATGATTTGTTCGCGTCTAATTCTAGTCTTTACTTAACTCCGCAGCTTATTGATAATCGGTCTAGAATATCCAACGTTAAATCAAATGTTAAATGGAGTGAAAATGAGCACAAATAGTGAAACAGAGGCGGATGCAGGTAGAGCTGCACAAGTTACAGTGTCCCGAGATTGATCAGTAAGTGAGAAAGACGTAAGCTGTGAGTTTCAAGTATTTCATCTTCATTCTCGATTAACTAACGAAAAACACGTCACCAATATTGAATAGGCTAAGCGAAACAGAAATTAATTGTGTAGAAGAGCACTTCATGTTCAACAACAAGAGCGGGTAGCGATGAGGGCGAGAAAAAATAGTCTGTTTTTGATCTCCGGTAAATTCTAGCCACCACTGTATGCGCAAAAGAGAACCAACAGAATTTCACTTACCGTTTTGGTCGTCTAAACTGACTTCTCTCTCCCCTCATCCATCCTTTACTCACTCCGGCCTTTGTTACTAAACATCTCAAGCATCCTTTCACCTTGTTGTTCCTTGTTCCCTACTGTACTATATATAAATGGCATATTTTGCCTTAGCGAACAGAGAACGGAGTTGAAATGCTTGTATTTCGTAGCTTATGTCTTCTTCACTTGTTGATAAATTGCATAACGCCGTAAACAGCATAGGTTTTTCTTAAAGAACAGCGATCTATACTCGTCTTTTCATACAACAAAATAAATATTACGTAAGTTGTTCTATTTCCTAATAACTCACCCTAATTACCATAAACAAAGAATTACTATGGCATTCGTAAACATGATGCTGACGCAGACCAATTATCATCACACAATCCACTGGCAGCGCGAAATGTGATTTCACAATGACTGGCATTACGCACACAACCCGCCTGTATGCCCGTTTACACAAGTTCACATCCCTTAAACCATGGCATGTTTCAATTTAACCGGCGCTCATATCTCGTTCCTCCCTATATTTAGGAAAGTACACGATAGAAAACTAATTAATTGAAAACATTTGTACTTACACTTAGCACGATGCTCTCATAAACATTCTTCTTTCACCAATCATTCACGATGAAAAGCTTTGGGTCCTTCAAAGTTCTCTCAGGCAATTAATTGAGTTCATTTCCGCCGAAAGTTTCCGCGATTCGCTTTGTGATCTTGAAAGCGTAGAAACTGTGAAATGCTTTCAGTATACAGGTAACAGCTAAAACATCTCGCACTCTAGTTAACTATTTGTTGGATAGTGTATTCGAAATCAGCCACGATTCTAGGTAGAATCAGCTTGTCGTAACTACGGACTGATTCTACGAGTCATTAATTCACAGCTCACATCGCCACAATTGCTCGCTCTCCACTCTCGCACTCTTCGTTGTCCAGTCATCTGTTCCCTGCACATAGATCACTGGAATGCGGAAACAGTGACCGTACACATTTATCCATAATGATTGTCCCGGGATATCCACTGCTGGACGAGAACGAAGCACAACAAACACACATATATCATCCTGTTCGAATGACCCACAGGCACCAGTGGCGTCAGACAAAATCACCAGGGTAAGCATATCCATTACATTCAAGATCGTCATAATTCGGCGTAATCAACCAACCACAAGACATCTCGGTAAATATGTGCGGAGGACTCTTGGAGGTAATTCATCCGTTACACTTTATCTGAGTTCATCCTTCCAAATGATTTTTTAATTGGTACCATCTTATCCTAATCTGATTGCACGCAAAAAAACATACCTAAGTTATGATTTGCCTGAAGAAGATTAGAAAAACGCATTAGTGGAACATGTAAAAATATGGAATCGACCGTCGAAAACTCAAAATTTGTTGGAACAGTAGGTCTATGATTTAGAAACACTCTCCGGTCAACAACATTGAGAAATTCCGAAATGAAAATTTAAATTGATTCGCGTATGGTAACACATTACAACAGGCAAATGTTTAGCGAATGATTGCCGGAGAAACTACATCATGTAGTGTAGAGAGCTAATTTTTTAACCATTTTCTCTGTGAAGACCTCTTATAAATACTTTAATGTATTCCTGCAGTTTGCACTAATAAGATAATATTGAGTTCTTTCCAAATAAGTCATGCTGAGTCAAATTGAGCAAACTTTCCCAGGGCGCTTTACAATTGTCTAATCTAAATAGAACTATTGTAGATTATATCCGATCACTGATCAAAAGGGGCATACATTTAAGAACTTATCGAACTGTATCACGGTAAAGCAGCCATAAACAGAGCTGTGAAAGCCCTTGGTCAGTTTGGAATCAAGTACCGCTCTCATAGAGTAGCAGTGTTCGATCAAACAGATCGATACCCCGATCACTGATGCATGCACATCCACACACAAACAAAATCTACCCCGTACACATTGATGATGCATCATAGTGCATTACGCTTTTCTTGATACCATGTGGAACAAGATATAAATCGGTGGCTACGGAACATTGCCCGGGACTTTGACAGCTTAAAAATGTGGGTTGACCATACTGGATCACTGTGCCCGGTTTTATGTTATCCTCAGTCAATTTTATCGGGGATAAATCAAACAATGGACTGAAGAAATGAGTTACCGAAAAGTGTGTGCTTTATTATTGTTCGTTATGTCACAAAACGAGGCCTGTTCCAGTGAACCAGATAGTGGTGTATCATCGCGTTTCCGTGCAACTGAAACGATGAAACAGTTTGTCCCAATCCAAACCTACTCAACGCAGGCATGAAGCGGAACAGACTATTACCATAGTAACCCTTGATTGGCCAAATCACATCCGCAATTTCAGAATCACAAGTGAACTGGTAAACTAGTTGGCAATAGAGAAGATGTGAACCTATTCCCTAACTCGTTTCAAAAACAAAATCTTCTAGTTGATACAATGCAATTATTAAACCCCTAGCGTTCGACGCATGCGATAACTAATACATCATGGTTCTCGCAATAACGTGGATACTGTTAAAAGTGATGCAAATCGTTCACTTTGAACGATAAACCATTATTCAATATTTATTCTACATCTGGATTAACATATATTGACTATGTTGCTCAACATTTTCTCTTATAATGTTCAGGGATTTACCCCTGATTTCAATAGAACACGTAGCTCCGGTTGTACTTCAGCATCATTGTCTAATCAAATTCTGACACCAACTCATTACTTCTCTAAAATTCAGGAAAATTCGGGAAATTTATTCTATAAGAGTGAATGAAAGTAAGAACATTATTCTTTGTGACTAGCGCAATAACAAACAAACTATTCATGTAAATCAGGTTCCAATCGAATCCTGCAGATACAAAAAAGCAGATAGACCCAACGTAACAGTATGAAGTATTTCTTTAATCTGTTCTTTACTCTTAAATTGAGCGTTTGACGCCACCATTGTTCAGCATAATATACACAATTGACTAGCAGTTTTTTACACCGGTTCACGTGGGTCACCAATCCCTGACTGGATGTTCGCAAAAAGGATAGGTGACTCAGTTTTCCACTCTCTTTCCTCATCCTCCTCCCCTCTCCTGAAGAGGACCTCATCTCTATCATCACGCTCAGTCTTGGCACGCCGTCGCGTACGCGAGAAGAGAGAATTTTGTGTAACATGCCTCTGGCCTCGAAACAGCGTTGCCAAGGTAGTAAATTAGTTTATGCATAAACCGTCCGACGTGTGTGAAGCCGAAGGGTAAAGCTTTCTTTAGGAACACGCGGAAAATAATCGAGAGTGGTTCACGTGCAAACAAAATGGAACCAACATACATCGGTGGTCAATGTGAAAGTAGTGAATACGCTTTTGGTGATGTGGGTATCACCTTTGAATAAGCACATAAGTATTTGTATAACAGATAAGGTGGTGTGGAACGTCTAATGCAGATTCACGCTTAGAGGTCTGGCCCCGACCAAATGGGTCTTCTACATTTGCATTCGTCTGGCCCAATTCATGTGAACATTCAATGAATTTGCGGGTATCAGAATGAACCAAACACTCTCGGAATACTATGACCTCAAGCAAATTCGTCGAAGCCTAATCAGGATCAACTTGAAATTCGGTAGAACTGTGCAAAACGTCAACTTGTAGGTGTTTCTTTGTTTATGGCACAGTTTGGATGTTTGTCCAACTGAAGAGAACTAACGGAGCAAGCTGCAGCGGGCAGCTTAAATGCAAACAGATTGTTGGCAGATTTTTAGCTATCGGTGGGATTAGAAAAACTCACCACAGTGGTCATCTTCGAGTAACATGGAATCCAAACAGTAACCACTGACACTTGAGGTCATTCGGTAGTCTTCAAAGTCCGTGGTCTGTGAGGTGTTCAGTGCACCGTGAACAGCTCGTCGACCCTCGTAGCCGTTGTCCGTTGAGCGCGACTCGGACATGGATTCAAAATCAGCCAATCGCCCGAGGCTGGCACAACGTTGTTGTGGTCGAATTCGTGTGAACGAACGTCGACGCTCGTTCCTTTTTGGATTGACTCGAAGTGGAACTGTTAGGGGATAAGATGGAATGCATCGTTATTCATATATTTTTGACATACATTCTATTTCGTGAAATCAGAAAAAGATAACAAAGTGCTAGTATGAGACATTTAGGAAAATAGTAAGAAACTTATTTATCTGTGAACTACATTTATCTGGTGGTAGCGGCGGCGGCGGCGGTATAGGTATTTGGTTCCCTCTTTGACTGTCCCATTGTTCCATTCCTCCTTCAACCGTCTGTATTAAAAGCAACCAACCACAATCATCCCACAGGGCTTAGGTTACCCAAGAATGGCGTGCTACTAGATCCCTCACAAGCGAGAACTTTGTTTTAAAAAATTAGACCCATTTGTCTGCAATTACGCTGACAACGGCTCTGACTGCATCTATGAACATTTGAATGGTAAAATATCTTCGATGACATCAAGATTCATTCATTTGCCACAGTGATTTAACCGTAAGCCGCTTTTGCTAAACAGTTCCCTCGGTAGTCGAAATGCAAACTGATTGCCAGCTTCTTCCGACCATACTGTTATTTAATGTTCAGCATGTACGTACTTGCAAAGGAAAATTTTTATAATAGCTGTGGTAAAAAATAAACGCGCGGATAAGCATGGAAATATGCACACGGTAGTGCATTTAAAGTCAATCTAGGTAATCAATTTTCCTCGATTTTTTGTGGTTGGCTCTGTCCAGTTGTCGCAAAGGTTATGGATATGCATTCTGCCAAAGCAATAAGCCATCAATACGATTTTTCATTAGTCTGATATTAGAAAAACATTGGGAGGTTTGACTTAAATACGACTGTCACCATGTTGATTCCATTGCTTCCAGAAGGTTGATGACCCTGTCAACATCGTTCTCCACACGCGCCAAATCAATCTTCGAGTGATGTAAAATAAGCCAATTCGATTGTGTGTAGTACGATCAGATAATCTAACTGAATATTTTAGCCAAACACTGCAAAGGGATTGGAGTTTTTCACCTATTTACTTATTGTTGTAGCGAACTTAATCACATGATACCTTAATTTCAGTCGATAGTTAAATCGGATGCCTGGTTCACAAACTGAATCACAGAAAGTGCACAAGTTCGACTTTGCTTGTCTGGTGTGCAAACAAAATGGACAGCGGATGCACTATGGTACCACACACCCGCGTGGTTAATCAATTCACCTACTACCAACCATCTCGTAAGTGAGGATGAAAGTATTTGAAACCAGCAGCAGGATCCAAGAATCACAAGCATAGGGCAAACCGAATTCCATCTTTCAAACACCCCTTTTGATTTCGTAGGGAGTGATTCAAGAAGAAGCGGGAGGAACTAATGTGAAAATACCGTAAGATGGCATTTTTATGATTGACTGACTGATTTGGGGATGATGGCAAACATCTAAGCACAGGGCTCAAGGACACACACGAACCCCACGATGGGATCCAACGTTGTGTTACAAAGAAACAACTCCACAGGACCTCGGAGAAACGTAGTTGCGATGCATCGGTTGGGCATTGTCTTGACCGTGTGTTGATTGTTTGACAGTCGAGTCGGTTTGGGCAAACAGATAGTGAAAACCACTGCTGGATGTCATTTTGGAATAAAAGTGCAACATTATGCGGCATGGGTATGTTTGAACACATCTACAGACACACGCACAAAGGCCATAGTCCACACACGATGTATTGTGTTGGAACAAACTAGTTTCTGACAATGTGTGCACAGTGGATAAAGCAGGAATAATGGAATGGATTCATAAATTAACGGGACCAAAATAATAAATAGTCAGCAAGAATTTAATGTGCATGCACCTACAGACTTCAATCAAAAAGGGTCCTTTATGTGACTGAAGCGAATCAGATTACGTTTCAGTTCGAGGACTCCTCCACACATACATACACTCTCTCGCCCCACCCATGTCCTCTATTCTTGCTCATTAGAATTACAAGACGGAAGAGTAGTAGACATCAACGATAACCGGGCGGTATATGGAATCACTTCCCAACGCTCGAACTAAGTTGACCAAGACTAGCGACAAGAGACATCCATTATTCGGTAGTGTAGAGAAATACTCTAATATGAGGTGACATAAAGCTTGAATTATCTCCACAGTCATGGAGCACAAACATCCGTCGTTTTGGTGTGCGCGTGCGCGAGCACTTTGGTGATCTATCTACGCGATTTGGAGTGGTGTCTTAGACCTCTAAATCATACCGAGATGCAAACAGATATTTCTCAAATTATGCGGGAACATTCGAACTGCAAGTGCGGTCATGACAGAAGAAAGGGATTATTAGAAGTGAATATGCGAGATGTTTAACCCACTAGTATACCGATTGGGTTAAATCTCGGTATTGTGTAAATCGGTACAAAATAGTTACCTAAAATCAATTGATATAAACTATCCCCTACGAACATGGTGGATTTCGTATATAGAACAAATGTAGCATGAACGGAAAACCAGAAAGCGCTTTACGGTAAACATGGGTTGTGCTATATCGTGTAAGGACAAAATGAAAAAGGTCTAATAAGTTGTCCGAAGGCTGGTATGCTTACGTTCTATCTGTGGAGTCCCAATTTCGAGCCCCAGTTGGGTTGATGGATTCGCACTGCTGATGAGACCTAATCAGGTCGAAATCACTGCACAATGGTTTCAGGCTTTATACTTTACGCTANCGCTACATTTGCTGTATACTCTGATTTGTATCCCAACCCTTCACGTTCTGTTATTATTTTTGTTGCGTTGGCATCAAGCTTGCTAGCAAGCCGGTGATATATATATATATATATATATATATATATAATTTACTCCGTGCGCAAGGAAATCTATAATTGAATTAACTCTACCACTACTTTCATATAACCCACACTTAGTAGACGAACATGTTCTCTTACCTGTCACAAAACATTGCATTATAAGGAGAGCACTGATAATCCCCGGCCAATTTTCATTGAATCTTTGTGTTTATTTGTGTCAGACATTCACGAACAACACGGATTTATACAGATGTGTTCAATGATCCAACAACTAGAGTTTCTGTACTCAGTATGCATGGGGAAGCATAGCGAACCTCGGATATAGACTACTTTGGATGAAATAATTCAAGCTTGCCGTCATTATCGAAAGTGATCATTTATGCAAACTCCAGCGTAATTGGGTAAAATTGCCACTTATTTGGGTATTTCTTATTGATTGGCATTGTTTTCCGCTGCCTGAGATTGATCATTCGGCACTCTGTGGTAAACCAGTGACATGCAATTCCACACAACGCAGACAACATGGTGTTAACCAAAAAGGCTTGTCATGGTACGCCGACACTTGTAGGGCTCGTCATCTTTTCTAGCGGGAGGTTGATTATACAATCACTTTTGTCCAGTCTTATGCGCGTTTTAAAGTACTGTTGTATCAGCTTTCGCGTGATTAGTTTCAGCTAAAGTAATGTACCAACAATGTTAAAAAGCAAATGCCAAGAAATGTGCTGGATAATTAAATGGAATATGTTGTTCTATTTACTCAGCTGTTTCTAAATTCTTTGTTCGCTCAGTGCGCTATCAGGAAAGATCGACTGTAGTATCTTAAATTGTTACTCTCATGTTTCATCGATGAGAACAGAAATAAGAATTATACCGGTTATGCAAATCAGTAGATCAGCAGTTATTTGATCCATCCTTAAACGTGATTTGCTTTCATTCAAATTCGGTCAACAAATTTGTATAGTAAACATCTAAGATAAATGTGTTCCTGGTGTGGAGAGAGGAGTGGGTGAGGACAAATGAACTTGCTAATCACCTGAGTTTATAAGTTCGAATTCGATCAATTTAGAAACACAGAACAAACAAAAGAATGTTTGAATTATGTAGATGATTTCCACGATTGGAACGAAAATGAGAACCGACAACTGTGATTTACCTTTATGGGTTCCCGAACATTAGCCCTCCGAAAGTAACCACTAATTTCCTGACCTTCTCGATAAATTACCTGATTGAGTGAAACACCGTCCTTGAGTACAAATTTCACTACTACTTTTTGATTGCCCCCAACGTGTTAAAAAACCATGCGATGTGTGATAAACTAAATAGGCACAGTTGGACAAATAACAGGCAGACCCCACGCATTGTGCGTTTTCGGATGTAGATCAAATGAACTGGTCAATGGCCAATAACCAGACGTGTGTAGGTGCGAGTACACACCTGTATTTCATCTGTAGGTGAACGACTGTACAGGTCTCTGTTGTGCCACTTCGGTGACATGTTCAAAGAGTTCAGCTCGGTCGCTCGAATTTTCACTATTGTTGATGTACCCATTCACGGACTTTATTGGAAGCTGGTAAAGAGATTACTCAAGATGTGATTCGAAGTATGAGCCTTAATAGTAAAGTACCAGAGGTAGTAGTAGCAGTATCAGTGACAAATAGCCTTGCCAGTAGAATCAAAATGCCAAGTTTATAGAGACTAGCTTTGCAGTAAACGCTTTTTGCATTCATAGAACACATTCAGAAAAAAAGGAGCCAAGAGGTTCTTATTTCAACGAACTCTTGATACCATCATAAATCGACAAGGCGTATCATTATTCATTGTTTGAAAATATTTTTCACTGAAGCTATTGCATGATAGAACAATAGAGCTTATTTCAGCGGGTGGTATTGTTCAAGGGGTGTTAATAGCCGTCACTGAAGTGTTTCGGTCCTCAAGATAAGGA